TTTGGCGCGTATTTGGCTATGCAATTTTGCTTAGCAATTGCTTTTGCATTGCCATTATAATTTTAATATCGGCATGCTTTTTGACTAACATTTAATTATTACGAGAAATACTAAGCAATTTAAATATTTTAATATTTTTAAAAGTATCTGCTTGTATATTGGACGAGGGAAGCTGATTTATTATGACTATACTGACTGAAGAAATCTCGATAAAATACGAAAACAAGACAATGTCCTACCTTGACAGCTAAAGTGAGTAAAAAAACGAATGTCCTACGCCCGTACTTAACTGAAGCACGTGAAAATCCGGAATTCGCGGGCTGGAGACAAGGACGAAGATTTTGTATAAAAAGCATCTTTTAAATCAGACCAGCCACAGTCAGTCGCGTCTTCACATCGCAAAAAGTCACCATGAGCCAAATCGTAAGTTTGTTAAATAATGTATTTGATTAAAAATCTTACTTAGATTATTTGATCTTTTGGTTCAACGCCTAGAATTATTATGTATGCGAAGAACGATTATTTTATTTTTCTGATTTAAAAATCTTTCTAGCTCACCGGTATGTTAGTTAAACAAAACATTTCAACCAATTTTCAGAAAATATAACGAAACAAAACAAAATATTTAAAAACTCTCGCATTTTTCTAAAACTAACTTATTATTTAGTTAGCTGTTGATTTTCTCTACTTAAAATTTTATACCTACTTTGCCACTAATAAATCATATGCTATTGTTCATTTCAGCATCATATTTTGTATACACCTATCATATTGGCTATACACTTTTCGTATTTACTTCGCATTTTGATATCGGCAGGGCTTCTACCACTTTAAACATTCGATTAGCAGCTTTATAAATTTTATGACAAACTCTTAGTGGCTAAAAAACTTTCCTTATTTTGTCGTTTTCTTGATTCCCCTTTCACTTCCCTTCAACTGCTGAACCTAGTTGTATCAAATTGGTTTAAGTTTATCGGGTTTCAGTTTATCAAGGCAACTAAATGGCAAAGTCTTAAAAATAATTGAAAATATTCACAATTGTGTTCTGGTCCCAGAATCTATCCCCTCACTACACTTTGATTTTTAAAATTATAAAATCTTGTTGCTTGCATATATCAGCAAAAACCTGAGAAAAATTTAACTCTCTCACTTGCACTTCACTATTCAGGTTGACCATTTTTACGCACTAAAATCATTTCTGTTTCGATAACCCCAAAGCAAAATGCGTTGCTAATTTTTCTATATCAATATTCTGTAATTATTTATAGGTATTCGTTGCCCTTTTTGCCTGCTTGGCCATTGCAAATGCAGGCACAATCTTAGCTGGTAGCTCAGCTAAAATCATCCAAGGGCCGAGCACAAGGACCACTGTAGTTGGTCCTGATGGCAGCTCCATCTCGTCCTCCTCTCCCGGAGGCTCCATCATTCAAGAAGACATTCCCGGAGTTGTGGCTGAAACTGCCCCGGTGATTGCAGCCGCTCCTGCTGTAGCCTACTCCGCGCCAATCGCTTACTCCGCACCAGCTACTCAAATAGCCTACTCAGCTGCAGCTGCTCCCATCGCCTACTCCGCTGCGGCTGCACCGCTGGCCTACACCGCTGCAGCTGCTCCATTAGCCTACTCCGCTGGAGCTCCTTACGTGGCAGCCTATTCAGCTCCATTAGCCTACCAGGCACCTCTTGCCTACTCTGCTGGCCCTTTGGCTTATTCGGCTGGACTTGTAGCTGAGAAGCAATTGGACACCGTTGTAGCTGGACCATCTGGAACTATCGCCACCAGCAAAACTGTGAACCGTCCAGCTTTGTTGGCTTCCCCACAAGTTTATGCTGCTGGAGTTCCAGCCTACTATCTCTAAGATGCCTGATCCATGCTGCCTTATTTATTGAATAGCGTAAAAAACCGAAATACATTTGCAAAAAATCGCAATAAGAACATAGTTGAGTTTGTTTCATTTTTTTTGCATCACATTACTACGAAATTTTGAGTATAGAAAACTCAAACTGTTCTGTGTGAAAAATAGAGCATTTCTGCTGGTTTGAACCTGACACATCGGACTGATTCTTCAATGTATTCTTAATTTTGGTTCGCAAAGTTTCCGAAAAATATTTAAATGTTTCTTGTAATATATATAATAGTTACAACCCAATAGTGAAGCTTTCGGTTGAAATGAAATTCGAGAAAAATAGTGAGGATATATTTGTTCTTCGAACTTTGAACGAAATCTTCTCCTAACAAAATTGATTCAAGTTTTGCATAAAATTGTTACAGATAATACATATTATGCATAAATATGCTGATACAGGAGTATCGATATGGAACCTTATTCTGTTCGGTCCACCAGATTGAAATTGACGGTTCAAGGTTGAGAATGGCTCAACTAATTATTCTTCAGCGCTGAAAGTAGCACTTTCACACTATTTTAATTATTCCATCAATTTAGGATAGGAAAATACAGAAACATTGACGAAATGAGTTGGATCCATTTATCCAAGTAGTGTCATTGTATACTACAATTTTAAACTTGAATGAATCAAATGTATAATGAGCCAATTCAACGCTATATATGCATTTCAACCGACTCCTACCAGGTCGGTATTCCGACCAGCAAAAAATATAACTAATCATTCCAAGCATTACGCTGCAAATAAGAAAAATGTAATTTTCGTATAAATTCCAATTAAGATTTCGGGGTGTAACATGTACTTCACAAAGGTTTACGCTGTTCACGGAACTTGATCATTACACCGTAAAAAATCGGACAGGAGCAAGGACGATGAATACCTTTGGTATAAATAGTATTTTTATTTTTCAGAATATCATAAGTCGATAGTAATTGATCAAGTCAACAAAGAACCTGCCATCAATATGAATACAATTGTAAGTACCATTTATTTGAATGTTTGCCCACTTCGTATAAAGAAAGAATATAACTGAACTGAACAATTGATTGTCTTATAATAGTTTAATTCTTAGTCATTTAAAATAAAATTAGCAAAATTAAGTGAATAAAAATTAATTTGATTAAGGTAGCTCCGAACAGATATTACGGACTAATCGATTTAAAAGTAAAGGTTTTTGTATCAAGTTTTGTCAACTATACAAGATTATTCAGAAAATTTTAGAGATAATTATGCAGTCGCGTGAGTATATTGTTGGCTGCCTACTAAAAGATTTAATTGTTTAAAGAACTACTTCGAATTTTGTGATTCAAAGATACATTAATAGTATTTTTTGATTAGTCAATACGTTTTTTACATTTACATCTATAGCATTAAGCGGAATAATAAAACACTGGATAAAACTATTGCAAACAGAGATAAAACGCAATTTAATTTGTGTATATGTTATATATTAATTCATTCACTAAAAATAATTTAAATGTATCTCAGCCTGGAATTTTTCTTTTGATGAGGTGGCGCTTTGATTCCATAGTGAAAAGCTCAAAGACTATTCACTTTGGTTTGTCAAGTTTTTTAGAATTATTTATGGTCCTTTAAACATGATTTTCATATATATTTGGTGTTCGAACCTATCCTAAAKTTTCAATAATTGCTTTWGGAGTTATTGTTTTTGAAGCTGTAGGTTTTAAGTAAAATTTTATAAATTTATTGTACACTACAAAAATAGTAGTAGCAAATATTRTCAGAGCGTCTGCAAATTGTGGTATATCCATCATGCATCCATATCAGACAACTTATTTGYTGTTTTATTTATTAGCGCCAGCATCGACCKTTAGTAACCTGGAAGACATCCAGCGAAAAGTATGATAAATAGATTCTTGTTGATTTTGTAGCACACATTCTGCTGTTTTAAAACTATCCAACTAATTCAAAATTTTTGCAGACATTCACTGCCTTCTTCGCGTGTCTGGCTGCAGCCAATGCAGGATATTACAGTCCTTCTGCGGAAATCATCCAAGGACCCAGCAGCAAAACCACCTTGATTGGTCCAGAAGGCAGCATAATCTCCGCCTATGCTCCAGGTGGAAAAATTTTGCACGAAGAACATCCTGGATATGTCGCTGAGACTGCTCCAGTTCAGGCCTATGCGGCACATTCGCCAGTTGTCTCCTACGCAAGTCATGTTCCAGTTGCTACCTATGCTGCACATTCTCCTGTTCTTGCCTCTGCGCCCCTTTCTCTAGCTTACTCAGCGCCTCTGGCTCTTGGTCATGAAACTCATCTGAGCAAGTACGGCAGTCAGATTTCTCATGGAGGTTATGCGGCCCCTGTGTCTTCGTATGCTGCATATGCTCCCGTTGTGTCATCTGATTATGGTTATTATGGTGGAGAGCATGGAATTTACGGTGGAGAACATGGAGTTTACGGTGGAGAGCACGGACTGTATCTTTAAACGCTTGTAGCATTAAGTATATTCTAATGAACATTTGCTGTTTTATTCTAATGTTAAGCTATTTGTTAATAAAGTTATGACTTTCTTTTCTGAGATATACAAATTGCTTTTATTTCCTCACGGGATTGCAGTCAAATATTTCAAAACAAATCCTTAGCTAACCTGCCATACCTATACTATAATAAAAGTCCCTCAAAGTCCATAAACTTTTTTGATTCATGCATGAGAAAGGAAAAAGTGGATTGGTTGCTCTCAATATTAAAATGTAAGCTCAGACATAAACCTGACTGTTCGTTGTTTTATTTGCGTTGTCTCCTATCCATTTTCTTTCTGAACTGAACTAACAAACGAAGCAACAAATCTCGTATTTTAAACATTGTGACCGCTCAATATGAACTAATTGCAGAAGTTACATGTATCGTATTTAATATGTTTTTGCAGCATACTAAGTTTTAATTATTATTATTAGAAACAAGGTCTCCATATTGGTCACTAGACCAGGAAGAACTCGAACTCGTTCATTCACCACCTAATTGTCACAACAATTCAACCTATTAATAAAGTACAGTAAATATGCAAAAAAATATTGTTAACTTGCACTACTTACTCATTCAGATTTTATAATTTATTAGTCACTAATATACATATCGCAAAAAACACGGAACTGAAATATGCTCCTGAAAAATGCAAAACCCTTTCAAATTATTATGTTGCGAATTTCTTCATTATCATTCTGCTATTTTAAAAAGTAAATATTTGTAATCAGTAAACGGAAAATATTTAAAAGATTTTCCTTTGAAATGGTGCAAACAGAAAAGCAGAAGGGTTATTTTCAGCCCCAAGTTTTGTGCGGGAAATGAACGCCATCGTAAATTAAAGGAAAATTTACGATGCTGAAATGTTTCGGTGAAAACAGCAGGATGCTTATAAAATCAGCCTGGTAGATTTCGGAAATTTAATATTGTAGAAAAATCCCATCGACTTTGAACGAGGAGAAGAAAATTGAATATAGTAAACCGGTATATTTTTAACGGATTTCTTATGTATTGGAAGGGTGTAGATTTATTTCTCGCTGTCTTGGATAAAATAAATACGGCCGTGCCAAAAATGTTATCTAATACAGAATAAGACAGGGAAGTAATGAAGTTAAACGAACGAAAAGACGCCTTGAACTCTATACTTTCTAAGTGATGATTCGTCGCTGGTGTAAACATGTAACACTATTATTAAAAACTAATCTTCGTCACTAAAACGTACAGAATTCTTCAAATAACTGAATGAATTTCATTTGTGTTTTACAGAGCATATTTGCTTTGGTTATTCGAGTTTCATTCGTCGAGCTAGAGTCAAGCGTTTTAGTTAGCTTTGTAATAAGGCGGTTTGTCCTCGTCAAGGAAATCTTGATATAAAAAAATTGAAAATTTAATTGACGCAAGAAATATTTTAATGTCCAAACTAAACAAACTTTTTGTCGGTGTTACTCTATCTTGATAATAACACATTCGATTTTTGTTAACTGAAGCCCGTAACAAACATCCACCTAAGTCAAAGTATCCATCCATCCTATAAACCCATAAACGTAAAAAATCAATATTTTTTATGGAACGTATTTGGCTTAATTAATTTGCTTTTAACTCTGAAACGAGCCAATATATCGATTTGTCCTTTTCACGTTTTTTACTGGTAATTTATTACGTACTGGTAATCTACTCCGGTTTTAATGATTTTTAACAAGTTTTCAAGTGCAGTTTCATAATTATGGAGGCTGATTTTTATTTTCGATATAAAATAAACAGGGCTCTGTATTAAGTTTTAACGAGCGAAGTGCGCTCCTTGACAACTGATTGGCTCTAGACTGATTATTTTATGTTTTAATCCCACAAATCAACGAGAAGCTGTAGCGAACTTAAGTTTTTTGCGTTGAATAGATTCATACAACTTTATTAACATCAATTCGGCAATTTATTTGTTCATTAACTTGTGCGTCAAAATGATGCAGATTAGCCAAACAAGTAAACAGTTTTAATGTGTAATTACGGAAATCTGATCGTCCTAGAACCAAAATATACTTTGTTTTCACTGAATTATGATCTTTATGCTGAAATATTTATCGGTAATCCGATAGCATCAAAATCATTTGGAATATACTATGTGCATATCTAAACTGTAAAAGCCAACGAACCTTGTAACCATTGAATCGAAAATATTCTAGACACAATAAAAAGGCAAAAAAACCGAAACATGGATCAGCTAATTTAAAAAAAAGAGATGTAAAGTCGGGTGAAATATTCAGAAAAGCATTTTGGCTTTAGCACACCCCACATTTTCATCCGTAAATAATTCGTATTCTTTTGGGGGATATTTCATGAAAAGCAACTCACATATTCAAGGCTCATGGATATATCCGCATTTAGGAATTGTCTTTGGGACTTTGAGTTTCAGAGATTTGAAATGATACTAATAAATCGCTATTGTATCGGTTAAGGGACTGTGTAAAAAGTAAAGGCAACATGCAGGATATTAACAGTAGTATAAGGATTTGGCTAAATTATGACAATATTAAAATTTAATAGATCGCTCTTTGTCTGCGTCTGAAATCACTCTAACGTGCAAGAATTTAAAAGGAGTTTTTCAAATAAATTTAGATGATACAAGGTGTTTAATGCAAAAGGAGCATTATTTTAACCATGTATTCTAAGCCTGGAAATAACTCTAGTTTGCCATATAAGCGATAGCCGAAAAATGCTTCGTTACGGATTTACAGGGTGTTATTTCAAATTTAATAGCAAAAAATCAAGATCAATAGCTAGGAAAGGCAGATGTTTTGCAACAAATTAATTTTGTTAATTTTTGCCTGGATTTTACCAAATTTGGTAAAGAAAAAAATGTGCGCCACAGTATTTTTTAATTATTACAAGTATTTTTCAAGGGCCTTGATGGTGGTATTTCAAATAAGAATTATATCTTGTATGTTTTTGTGACGACAAGCGGTTAAGAATCTAAAGTAAGATTTGTGGTAGGTGACCACGTGATGAGAGTGTTCTGTTAAAGTCATGAATTTTATAGTACCAGTTCTTCTTTAACAAATTAGGTAGCGTGCAGGTTTGCACGCCCCTGGCAAAAATTATCAATCTTAATATTATCAATAAAAAAACTGATCTTTGGAAAGTTTGATTAAAACATTTTCATGCGTTTTGAAGAAATTGTTAATTTTTCACTTTTTAAATGAAATTTCATCACCCTCTAAATGCGTAATGAACTATTTTTAGGTATCGATTACTTAGCAAACTAGGGTTATTTTCGGACGTAGAATACGTGGTGAAAATAATTACCCTTCCTCATGAAACACTTTGTATATACCAATTATTTATAGTTTCAATTATTAACTTTTTTGCATCGTGCAAAGCTCAAGTGATATTACTTCATTCAAACGTCATCTATGAATAATTATATTGAGGCTTCCTGTTACGTTCTTGTTGGTCTGTTGCGGAAATCTGCCTTCGCCTCAAGCATTCGAAACTGGCGAGATTCTGTAGGTATAATATCGGAACACGAATTCCTCCCTAATAATATGAAGGTGAACAATAAATCTCCTACAAATGTTTAAAACGTTCAGATGCGGCTGATAACATCTATTCTTTTGTTATATTTCTTCTACAAATGAACCTAGAAAGACCACTTTTGATAATGCAACCATTCATAATGGTTATCGCCTGTATAAATTTCCACTAACAATACTATATTTCAAAAGCTTCCTGGTCGAGATTGGGCGTGATTAAGCCATGGCCAGGTCAGGTGCATGTTTGCTTCCAAATTGATTTCATATAATACTTTGCGGAGGTTGATCCTCATTGTCGTAGATACTAGTCGTAATTAATCTTCCTAATGAACTTAAACCAAATCAATGCTATTGTTGACGAAGGCTATAAATATTAATACCCAATGAATCAAAATTATTTGAGAAGTAGACGGGTTAATATTAATAATTTTTACTTAATTGCATAAGTATATTGATTTTGTATTATATATTGTTGTGTAATTTTACATGTCCCTTGCTTTTAGTGTTTGTTTGTTTAAGTTTTCTACACTAGTTAGTAGTAGTAGAGTTACTACACTTCCAATAGTCATCATTGGCGCCAGGTTATCTAAAAGTTGATATTTTCGGAAATATAGCGTGTTAGTCCAGTTTACAGAATTTCCATTCTTAACAAATCACCCTAAGTATTATCGTCAATCTGCTTAATAAACGAAAATTGAATAATGACACAAAAAAATTAAAAAGTCTGAAGTTTTAAAAAAAATACAACTTAGAAAATTATTACTGTTCTAGCTACTGTAACAATGCAATCTTGATAGTCTTATGATAAATTAAATCATAGCGGCAAGTTCAGGGTTAATGTCGACAGATTTGTGGTTTCATAATGAGGCCATTATGCTAATCTTTACGGAGGCAGTAACTCATTACACCATCGCTTACGATAACAATTAATATCTTTAATGAACTGAAGGTGGCATAGTTACAAACGATTTTCCATATAGAATAGATAATTCCGTGTTTATACACTGAAGACACAAAATCTGCATAGTAAGATTACAAAATCTGCATAGAGTTAGAGTTTCGTTTTGATAATTTCCCACCTAAGTTTGAATTGTTTGGATCAAGCTGCATTAAATACGTTGCTATTAAAGTTCTTTGATATTTTTTTCATAAAATTTCACATTTTATTAAGAAATAAAAGTAGTAAAACTGCTGACATCGGCATCGTATCCTTGAAGTATAAGAAGGGGTTCAAATAAGTTTTAAAACCTGAACGCAGCGGATATTCCTTAAAAAAATAGGCTGTTAGACAAAAGCCGGCGTAGTTTTACATTAATACTAACTCTCGACAAGATGGTGCCCCAGAGAACTATTTCAGATTTTCCCAAAATTACTTGATCTTTTAGCAGGAACGTTCACTAACCAAAAGGCCTGAATTTCAGTTTCAGATTCCTTGCTGTGTATAAACCTCGACAGATTAATTACTGCAATTTACGAACAGAACCTGGAGTGCTCGGAATCGGTTTTTGGAAAGTTTCATAACTATAGTCAGAATCAGCAAACAAAATTTTTATAAATTATTCTTAGAAGTAATTTCAAACAGCTGGAAGTAATTACTGTCGTGATGTTATCCCGAGTTAAACTATAAAATATTAACTGCTATACTTTCGATCCTTATCGAGTTCTCAGTCGAAACTATGCTTTAAACTGTGTAATGTGATAGTTGTGTAAATAGTCGACACAAAACATATATTCCCTTAGAAAAATATATAAAAATGCTCCAACAATTAGAAATAATATCAGAGAAAGAGGCTGAGAAAGTGTAGGCTTGAGAATCTGATTCAGAACTATAAGGGACACACGTCTGGAAATTTTTGTAGGGTACTAAAACTGATAATATTAAATGTTCGTTCGGATCGGAATAAACCAGAATATCTTTGAGGATTATATAGGTATTCAAAAACATTCAAAAGTGAAAAAGTTTTACTAAATACTTTGAAATCCATGGCCCATGTTGTGACTGAGCTGCTTTATCCCAATTAACAAGTCGATGTGGTCAAATGTATCAGAACTGTTTACGGTTTGCTAAAAATCTACTAAAGCAAATGGCCAATAAATTTGGGGATCTACACTTTCCAGAATCAGAATCTGATAAGTTCAAGCCAATATAAACGCTGTTTCGTTGGCATGGCCCAAAACATATTACATACATTTTCTTTAGTGCCAATACAATTCGGTCTGAGATGCGTCGGTTACATATCTGGCTATAACCGTTTTCGGCGATTACCAAGAGATGATCCTCGGAATTACATTGTATGTATTTTCTCCCCCAAAAAATATTTTCACTATAAAATCTTTAGTGTTTTGCCCTTGGTGTGCGGGATAAACAGATTTGAGTTTCGCTCAATAAGTAGCAGACATTTGGTAAATGGAACTGAAAAATGTTCTTTTATCTTCAACGTTTACATGTTATTGAAAAGAAAATAGAATTGCGTATTAACTAAACTTTTGGGAATTAATAATACCTTTTTGTAATAATAAAGTTTTCTGTTTTTGTTTGTTTGCGGTTTTATGTTTGACGAATATTTCCCGAAAAGGGATACCTACGCCTATTAATGTTGTGTTTGTTATTAAATATGTGACCTCTAGCAACCCATAACTAACTGATAATGTATAATAATAATAACAGTATTGTTAAGTTCACATTAAGAGAAAGTTAACTTTTAAACAGGGGGAGGAAAAGTGGAATAATAACCAGTACACATTTTTAAACGTTGCTTAGCAAGTTTGCTATTTTGAGTTAATCAGTAAATAATAAATTTACAACTGCAGAATTCTGCTCTAAAAGCTAAACGAGAAACTACCACATTTCAACAAAAGCTTCCCAAATGCCTTCACCTTTCAGCTGGATGTTTTGTTTTAATGTAAGGCACCGTGGATGCGAACAGCAACTTCAAATTAATTGCCGATTCAATTAGTTCCATATAGTATCAATAAAGTTTAATTGAAAACATGATTCCCATGTTTCTAAAAATACCTTTTTCGGATTCATCGTTGCATTTATCTATCAGAAAGTCTCGTCGCACAATCGAAATGAAATGACTTTCAACAGAAAATCCGAATGTTTTACGTTCTTTTGAATCGGAAGTTATCACGACACAGCATAGATTAGGCTTATTAAGTATTAATCGTATCCCAATCTTCTGTCATTTTAGTTATAATTACTATGTTTTTATAATTATTTCAGTTATCAATCGATATCTATTGAAAAAATATAAATATAAAAAGTGTGTTAATTCGTTTTAATACTGTAAGCAAATATTTAAATATGTTTTTCTTGTCATACGGAAAAACATTTACTTACTACGACAATGGCCAATTTAATCTACCTTAAAAATAAAAAAATAGCTGAATAATAAATATGCTTCGTTTATACGGAATGTATAATTCTCTTCAACTTCCAACAAGGCGTGAGGAATAATTGGGCTCCTTATTTGTAATTATTCGACATTTTTCTATAAAGCAAGTGTAGTATTGAGTGGCACACATTTTATTGGTTTGGCTATTTTTGGAATTCGACCTTTAGAGTGGTGAAATCAATAATGGAGTAAAACTTTAGGGTAGGGAATGCTAAAGAAATATTAACAGCAACTCGTGTGCTAACCCTATAGCAAATTTAACATTAAGAAAGATATGGAATTATTACGAGGTAATTAATAAGTTGGTCTTATTCGCTTCATTTTTAGACTTCGTCGAAATTCGATGGCGTTAAATTACTTACTTACTGATAAGAGGCGAACAGTTCGAGATGCATAACTTCAACTTACCTGAAAAAGAAAAACTTGTTTTAGTTGCATTATTTTGTCGGTACCAATAAAAATGTCTAAACATTGATTACCATTTTCAGTATTACATTGAAGTGTGGTAGATATTTAGAACAATTGATTGTCTTCAACACAAAATTTTGTTTATCACCTTTCAGAAGACGCATAATGTCAGCACAAACAATCAGTTTCATTATATTTAAATAAAGCTAATTATTTTTAAAAGCTCACACTCCAATTATATCATTAAAATAGTAAAACCCAAACTAACTAATATTTCTTTTTGCTTTCGTGCTAGTCACGCGAATGCATACAACTAAATATATTTAATAAATGTTTGAAAAAGTTCTGAGTTTGGACAATTTTGCAAAAACCTTTAACCCATTCTGAGCAGGAGGAATAATTAAATTTTCGCATTAACCATGCTGCTGATTTGAGGCTCATTTCTTCAGCAAATCGACTCTCTCTCCAAATAGGAAAATGTGCAATCATTATACACTATACAATAGATTTTCAATTTTCAAAGGAAATAGAGTAGTGAAAGTTCAGAATGAGAGTATCCAATAGGTGGGAGTATTCCATGTGTACGGTAACTTGAGTATTTTAGAAAACGTCTCTGTACGGCTTCGAGGGCGTTAATGTGGTTAGCCGAAAATGGAGACCATGCCATAGATGCTTATTATGGTATGTAAGTATTTATTAATATTACCACAACATACTAATAAAACACAGAGAGTAGAATTGAAAATTATAATGCTTAATTAAATAAATTTGAAAATATACACTTATTACACTCTGCCAAATCAAGAACAGTCTACCAAGCTGAGACCACTGGAGCTCCTACGGATCTTCCTGAAACGATGGTTCCGGAAGGACCAGCTACAACAGTGTTTTCCACTCCAGATAATATGGAAGCTGAGTGAGCTGATACAACTGGAAGACCGGATACCAAAGGAGATGAGTAGGCTGACACAATAGGAGAAGAATGAGCTGCATAGGGCAAAGGTAGAGCAGAGTAGGCTAGAGCTGGGGCAGCAACCAGAGGTGAGCTATGGGCAACTACGGTAGTTCCTTGGATGAGTCTTGCAGATGGAAGAACCAAGTTACCAGCGTGGGCAACGGCCACGAAGGCGAAAAAGGCAATTAAACACTGTAATTAATAGACATGTTACTTTCTCGTAGAACGCAATCTAATATATTATGTGCCAAACACAAATCAAAAGCTGATTTAGTTTTGAAAACAAAAGCGACTTAAAAATACTATTATATACTTACGGAGTTCATTGTTAATGTTGTTTGGTATTCAACAGGTAGAAACTGATGCTTATTCAGTTCTTGTACGATTATTTATACAATTTTAAATTCGAGTGTCCGTCCCACCCGTTCACTACTCCAGCCGCTGATACGAATTAGTAGAATATGAAAAACTACTTCCGTGGTATTCACATTATTTTGGATGAATACTTTTTAGCTAGTTTTTCGCAATCACTTACTAAATAAAAATATGTTTTAATCATTCAATAATCTTATTTCTTTTATGTGTTTTTCAATATTTAAAAGGATCGGCTCTTTTGTTTGTGGTTGACACTTCTGGAATAATTTTCACAGTTTGTTATTTGGGTTTCTATTAATTAAACTTTAACGTAAATCTTAAGTAATGTAAATCTTAGAGATTCATATTACTTAAAATGCATGATAAAACGCTGGTTAATGCATATAATTTCGTCCGGATACAATTCCAAAAATGATGTAAAACTGTGACGTATTTCAACATGTACCGGCCTTCGTAAAAAATGTACCTACTTAAAAATTCGTTAGTGACAACATTTCAATGTATAACAATTTTTAGCAATATATTGATGGCAAATAGTGGCTGTTTTAATGTTTGTCAGTTAGGAAATAGTAGATGGCCACTAAAGGTCCTGTACTGATGCCGATTATATTTTTTTTACGAATCGCAGCTTTTAATTTGAGTTTCTATTGTTGGAAGTTAACTTAGTAATAAGTTACCTAAACATTTATTTAGTAGAGGTGAGGAAAATACAACGTAGTTTCAAAATTATTAAGCATTCTGGAGATTTTCCAGCTACTTAGACACACTGGTTTTACACACCCCAGTAAATTACAGCAAATAATATTACTGAATATTTAGTTTGCATATACGAGTATAATTTCTTTCGATGCTTGTAATAAGTTGCAGTATTTTAAAAAAAAGGCGTTGAAAAAAGTATTTTCCGATTGTAAAAGAGAAACCAGAAACCTGTTCAAAGTCCTTTTAAGTTATCGAAGTTACCTTAAAGCACACTATCCATCATTTACTGAAATAAAAAAATTGTTAGGTAGTCTTTAGTTCTGCTATTTATTAATTTGCTTATTACTGTAAAATGTTGTTGTTGCTAAATAATATTTCCTACTTACTAGATTTGACGCAGAGGCTATTAATATTTGACAAACATTTCATAGGCATATTTTTTTAAATTAAATCCCCATGAAGGTTAGTCCATGCTGAAACATATGACATGTTTACATCATTTTTTGTTAAGCGTTTACACGCTAATACTGTACCCACAACGTTTTTACATGTTATTTCGTATACCAAAATATTGCTAAAATTCAACAGACAAGGTAAAAATGTGTACTAATATTTACATAAAGTGCAAGTTAGCAACTTTTTTCATTAATAAATTTAGGAAAGTTCATCGTCAAATTCCGTTAGAGTCTTCCTGCATTTGCAACATTACACCTTAATAATTATTTAAATTAATCTGACAGATGGGATTAGATAAAACTGCTGAAAAACAAAAATGAGCTGCGAAAAGACTACAATGCGATATAATTATTGCGGAAGCACTTTTTGCATGTTGGACCAACCGTACCAGTAACTGGACCAACGCACGGGTGGGACACCCAAATTAATATTTGTATAAATAGTCGTCGAAGAACTTTGAGTGTATCAGTTGTTTACTCGCTGAAAACAATCTATCTACAATGAACTCTGCCGTAAGTATTCGGTTTGAAAAATTTAATTTTCCTTCACACAAAAAAAAGTTATTTCTGTATCATACATATAGTTCTTTGTTCGTTATTACGAAACATAGTTGCGTTTGTATTTATACAGCCAAGTAATACTTTAATAATTTCCAGTGTTTTGTTGCCTTTTTCGCCCTCGTGGCTGTTGCCAATGCTGGCAACTTGCTTCTTCCATCCGCAAGGCTTATCCAAGGAACCACCGTAGTTGCCCACAACGCACCTGTTGTAGCTGCCCCAGCTTTGGCTTATTCGTCTGTACCTCTGGCTTATGCAGCTCACTCTTCTCCTGTGGTGTCGGCATATTCATCTCCCTTAGTATCCGGCCTCCCCGTTGTATCAGCTCACTCTGGTGCCGTACTATCCGGAGTTGAAAGTACGGTAGTTGCTGGTCCTTCTGGCACCATCGTTTCAGGAAGGTCCGTAGGAGCTCCAGTGGTTTCAGCTTGGTAGACTGTGACTAGACCTAATTCGGCAGAGTGTAGATTTTCAAATATAAAAAATATTTCATTATATATTAAACAAATTTTCATTTTCCTCATTGTTTTTCCTTCTATTTTCAGATAATTGACAATTAAGTACTGTAAATAAAATGCGTATTTCTTTACGCAAAACTCTAATAAGACGAAGAAGAGTTTCTTCTATAAGTCACACTGTATGAAGTTATTTTTCTTATTAACACCAATTACAATAATTATTCCAAGAAAAATATGCAGAAATTGATGCTCAGTTAAAATTTAAAACAATGTCAAATGATCGCAAATCAAATATGATTAATGTCTTCAGCTAGAAATGTTGCCAACTATACCTTTGCTACCAGCATATCTAAATCTACTCCTTTCATTTCCAGGAACTCATTTTATTTTCAAAAAAATAACTCACCAATTCTCTCTCGATATTTTCTTTTCTCCTATATTCTATAATTTCTTTCTCATAATGAATTTAAATTGGCATTTATTATGTATGTGTTAATTATTTAATTAACGATGATTTATGTGCTGTCTATCTGAAAAGTTTCACCTACTTAGCGGAATTAATTTTAAAATATTTAAACAAATTTAAACAGCAATATTTTTGTTTCAACTTAAGAATTACTTTATCAGCCTTTGCTTCACATATATGGCAAAACCGATGTAGTTAGTATCAGCTAGTATATTTTTTTATTTCATTCGTTCAAAATAAATTGAAAGTATAAAGAATTGAACAATTTCGAATTTTGAATAAATAATTTTGAAACTTTAGACAAAAATACTTAGCCGCATATATTTTTAAATTTAAATCTGAACGTATTGTTTATCGTTTTTATATACTGGGAAAGTTTTTTAATTTTCAGGGCGTACGATACCTAAATAACATGTTAGAAGCTGCGTCATAATTGACTTTTTTAACCAAATTTATACATTGTACGAAATTTGAAACGGTTAGTGCTAAAATTGCGAAAACGTTAAGTGGTGTGGTCTAGGGATGGGACATCAATCCTATAACATCGATTGGTAGCCATCGATATTGATATCGAAAGGTAATATCGATGTTAGGGAAACATCGAAGCCAAAACATCGATGTTCTGATAGTTTGTCGTTGCATACAAATTTGGATTTAATTAAATTGCTCTTAAATACTTTTATTTTACTACTATTATGGCATTTTAAAGCAATGCATTGTTAAATAATAGACTAAATTTATTCAACTTATATTTGCCACATTTTTGGTCAACTGACTGCCAAAAGCGGCTTTTTTCGGGTGCAGCTGGAAATGGGCCGCTATATAGCGGTATCGTTTGTATCGGCACTATCGAAAAGTTCGCAGAACATGTTTCTATCTTGTATCAACATCAAATGTCCGATGTTTTCATTTCAGGATCTAACATCGATGTTTTATCGATGTCACAAATTTCCAACATCGATGGTAAAAATATCGAATATCGGACGAATTACGTCGATGTTTTTTTCCTATCCGTAGAATGGAATAAACTCATTGATTTTAAAAAGGGAAAATGTACCGTACGAATAATTTCGAAACATTTTAAAATTCTATCGTGCTTGACAAAAGAAAATAATAATTTAGGGCGTGCTGACAAAAACTTTCATCAGGAAAACATACCGCAAAATTAATTATTATGTAGTACAGTATAAGACACTATATTTTAATTTTCCTATGACTTTATTGCAAAAATTTTAAGGAGAAAAATATACTAGCAGCAAGTACATTAATAAACATCAAAAAGCATAAAATATAAGTATCGAAAACGATATTTCGATAGCCTTTTGCCACAGGCAAAGTTCTGTGGGTGAATTAATAGCTCAAAAATATCTGCAACGAATGCGCTAAATTCAAATATTTTCGCGTTAGTTTGATTTGTATTCTCAGAGAACAGTTGCATAAATCCCATATTTGCATGATCATGTATACATAACCAAATTCGGAAGAAACTGGAAATAATTCGAATTGTCTGAATTTAAAACAACTTGTATCTATGCTTATCGATTTATTTACAGACATTTTTTACATGGAATGACACATTAGATAAAAATTTCTAGGCAAAGATAAGATAACACTACCAGGCTGAAACAAGTGGAGCCCCTACGCTTCTTCCGGAAACGATGGAACCGGAAGGTCCTGCTACAATAGTGTTTTCCACTCCGGATAATACAGGGGAAGAGTAAGCTGACACAACTGGAACGCCCGATACTAGAGGAGATGAGTAAGCGGACACAATAGGAGAAGAGTGAGCTGCGTAAGCCAGAGGTAGAGAAGAATAAGCCAAAGCTGGGGCAGCTACAACAGGTGCGCTGTGTGAAACAACTCCAACACTTTCTTCTTGAATGATTTGTCCACCCGGAGCTACGGACGAGATGGCGCTACCATCAGGACCAACTACGGTGGTTCTGCTGCTGGGTCCTTGGATAATTCTTGCAGAGGGAAGTACCAAGTTACCAGCATTGGCAACGGCCACGAAGGCAAAAAACGCTACAAGACTCTAAAAGTGATCAAATATTACTTATGTGACTGTAAAAATGGCAGAACTTTAAAACCTACCAAAGTGTTCATTGTTGATGTATCGAATTATTCAGCGAGAAAACAACTGATATTTGTGAAATTTTTCGACCACTATTTATACTAATTTAGATTTAATTGTCCCACCACACATGTCAGTTTAGTTGCCAATACGGAGAGTTGTAAATCGTGCTCAATTGTTTCCTACATCTGCAAAGGTTATCCAGTAGATCGCAATTTTTTCAAGTGTCACTAGTTTAAAAGCTTTTAAAGGACAAAGGAACTCGGTTGGGATAACTGCCTGTCTTCAAGCATATTTTGAAGCAAACACATTTCCAAAATTCATAGATTTGCTTCCCTGTTTGGCCGCACCAAAAAAATTATGAAAATATTTGTTTCGCATCGAGGTCAATTGGCGCCGAAATATATTGCTATTTTGCATCACTTTTTTGCATATTGAATTTCTACTACATATTATTGTGTATTTATATTTACATTGTTGACATATCTTAGATTTTTACGCCAGATACAGATAGTTTACAGTGTTCAAGATAAGGATGCATGGCATGAGAATTTCCGGAACCGTAGGACATTCGCAAAAGATAATCTACGGATAAATGAGTAAAAAAAGTTGAGCAATTTGGGGGCCACAAACATGGAGTTTTTCAAAATAAAGTATTTCTGTTCATTTTTGTGATATTTATGAAAAAGTAATTTTTCGGATTTTCGTCCTTTTCCATTACGTTTTTATACTTGCGTTTTTCATATATACCGAAAAAAGTACATAACGGATGAGGTAGCCCTTACAATAGCAAATTCAACGATGTATAACTCAATATTATTTATTTTTATTATAAACCCTGTATACGAAGTACGTATACAAACCAAAAAAAACAAAAGGCCAAAATTGCTGCATACTATTCGTATATTAAGTGCTCGTATATGTTGTTAACATTTACAATTGATCTGAATATCCAAACATTGTAAGCGGTTTTATAACTGCAACCGCAACATACGATATTAAATAGAATTGAATCGCATTAAAATTAAAAATGAATTTATTTGAATCCGTTTTTCTGTGACTGTGATGCAACCGTCCCTTGGTTAAATAGAGTTGTATTGATTAAAAAATATATTTTTCGCCCTGCCGCAGCTATAGTAAATATTAACATAGAGTGTCGCATACTCATCCACCAATTCGAGGCATTTGATGCAACTCAATAAATTTGCTACTAAATAAGTTTCTTGAAAAGAGACTGTGGATGACGATTGGTGAGAAACTCCAATACATTTATTTAAAAATAGAAACATCAATGTCCTTAATATCGTCGCCCCTGACCAGTTCAATCGGCTTGAATACTTGGATAAACTACTTCTAATGCACAGCTTTGTGCTTAAACGAAACAGCACACTGTAAATTTGTGTAAATTCCCATGAGAAGTGTGGTAGTTAAATTTAATTCAAAAGAATATCTGGTTTAACTCTAATAATAATAAAGCCTAGGCTTATTTTATTTTTTATGGCATGTTTAACGTAGCCTAACTAGGCTGAACTGGGAGTCCCAGGGCTAATATAATATTAATATAAAAATATGAACATAATTTGTGGCAATTAACGTGCTAGTTATCCATATACAGGGTGTTTCCATATCGTCCATATACAGGGAGGATGGTATAACCCTAATTTATACCAGCAAAAATTACTCAAACATTTTAAAATACGTCCGTAAACGGTTGACCTTCTAGATATAAGGTATTAAAAGTTCAACTTTTTTCACTTTATTTCTACATCTCGCTTAGACTATATTTATTTGAAATTTGGAATTATAGACCATTATTCGGAACCAACAGTATATTTATTCTTAAATATTTCAGTTTTCAATTCGATTTCGAAACTCTTTGCTTTCCTATAGGTCATACATTTCGGGTTAATTGACGAATGATGTTGATAATGCCAACGCAGTTATCAAAAATAAATTTAATATGTTAGCTCAGAATATGCCAGAAACCAATTGTAAACCAGGCAATTACAGCCAATTTAACTGAACATTAACTTAAAGAAAACCCAGCTGAATAGACCATTGCATTTAATACAACTATGTGTACTTGTACATACCAGTACCTGGGAAACGAAGCGTATAGAAATGAAGCTGCAAGACGATGGTGTTTGACAGAAATAAAATCCTAGAGAAACATTAGCATACATATGAGTACTGAAGGCAAAAGGCGAATTTACAAGATGTGCTACTAAACAACCGAAATGAAGACGCTAAAATCAATTCCGGCCAAACTTTTAGAGACCGAGTGAGAAGCAGCGATGTGACATTCCAGACACTGTAAGATAGTCCAGAATGAGAAGATAAGAATGGCTGCTACTCGACTACCCAAAATTGGAAAAGGCGCGAAATCAAATATAAATATATAATAAATCGGAGACCCCCCAGTAAACATATTAATTTTGATCTAAGTAACAGCTGACCTTCTCTTAATTTGCATACTAACTGTTCCAATTTGCATATTGAATACATGATAAAAGTAGTGCCGTACTTCAACCCCAAGTGACTATTTGCCTACCTGTATTCATTAATCCGTTAGCACATCAATCGAAAAAAAACGCAAGAGGTGATATATATAAACTAACATATTTGCATGGTCAAATAAATGTATTTACATAAATTTTGTATTCCAAATTATATTACATTCTGCTAAATTGACAAAATCTTCACCAAGCTGAAACAAGTGGAGCTGCTACGGATCTTCCCGAAATGATAGTGCCGGAAGGACCAGCTACAACAGTATCTTCGACTCCGGATAGTACAGGAGCTGAGTAGGCTGACACAACTGGGACACCAGATACTAGAGGAGAGGAGTAAGCTGACACGATAGGAGAAGAGTGAGCTGCGTAAGCCAGAGGTAAAGAAGAATAAGCTAAAGCTGGGGCAGCTACAACAGGTGCACTGTGGGCAACAACGCCGGCACTTTCTTCCTGGATGATTTGTCCACCTGGAGCTACAGACGAGATGGCGCTACCATCGGGACCAACTACGGTGGTTCTGCTGCTGGGTCCCTGAATGATTCTTGCGGAAGGAAGAACCAAGTTACCAGCATTGGCAACGGCCACAAAGGCAAAGAAGGCGACAAAGCACTGGAATGGAAATAATGTAATTGCATTGTTGAAATACATAATTTATACAAATTATTAATTTCCCAAAGGATTGCAAGTGCTTTGGGAGACGAAAAATACTTACGAAAGAGTTCATTGTTAATGTGGTAAGATAATCAGATACTGATACACACTAAAGTTTTTGAGAGCTATTTATATTAAACCATATTTAGCGGTCCCGCCCATAAATGCGGACCGAGTTACTGCTACCGATTAGCAATTTATGCAAACTTGTTTCCGCGACATTTGAAGCGCTTTGTTGTAATTCTTTGTTTTTAAGTCCCATTGATATTTCCTGCTAATGACGTCCCTTAGATCAAGTCACACAATAGTAATATTACTATTATTCGTAAATGATTATAAATAATATGGATAATCTGTATTAGCTCACATATTTATTGACTCGTCCGGGTTTCATATTCAAGGTCCATTCATATTCACGGGTCATTTCCTTATGAATTTCTTGATAAATGAAGTTCAACATTTTGTCTCTAATTCGTTGAACTTATCGTTATGTACATTATTCAACTGATATTTACTATACTAAATAATATCTTGGATGTAGGTATAGTGATTTTGACAGATTTAATTACTTGAAACATATGAAGATACTTTGTAGGGTCAGCACTTGTGGGTACATAATAATCTAAAAAATGCGGAAACATTGGTTAGAACTGATAAATAAATAAAAAACATTTCAGAATTTACATCCATCCACCTTATCGAGAAAATTATGAAATGCTAGTGTTCTTTTCGCACAAATACGCGGCTTAAACTTACTAAAACAACAATCTATTTTTATGTTAAGGTCTTTGCTTACTTTGGCTCTAAGCTCTTTATCTTCTCTGAATAAGGTTGAATGATAACTTCTAACATATATAAAGCCTGTAATTATGTCTTCCAAATCAGAATTAATAATTCTTGCAGCGGTTACAATATTTTCTGGGCAAAAAATGATAGTCCAGTTGCGTATTTTATATAACAACATTTTAAAATATCGCAGGTTAGCATTACCAAGCGATGACAACTTACTGGAATACTCAAACCCTTGCGTGAATTTCTACCTCATGTATTGCTAAGACGAAAGCACTGGTGATGACACATTATACGCTCTGAAATATTAAGCGACTACGATCATTATTCAAAGTGTGAACGGGACACACCTTCTTTCTGACGCCTTAAATATTTTTGTGCCTAAACACCTCAACTTGAAAATAATCTGCAAATTCTAGATAAGTAATATCAGTCCAAGTCATCTAAATAAACAATATCAATCTCAACAAAGTTGCGGTTCATAATATGTAAATGATAAACAGATTAAAAAATACCAATAATAAATAAGTATTGGCTACCAATGACAATAAAATGAGATAAGAAATAGAGCAAAAGTTAAAAAGAAGTTCTAGATGACTTGCATGAATAATCAATTTGGCTTCATTTGAGAGATTTACTATAAGCCAAATATAGTAAACTCTATTAACCAACTGCTGTTAATTCTCTGATTTTCAACCAAAAGTAGCTGATTTCAAATTTATGTACGCTGTTTTAAAAAAAATGCCATTTACCGAAAATCTTAACATGGTTTGTTGTCCGCAAAAACAAACAATTAAAACAAAGCTATTTAAATGTCGCGGAAGCACGTTTGCATAAATTATCAATATGTACCACCAACTTGATCGACATATATGGGTGGGTCAGCCGAATTCAGATTCGTATAAATAGTAGTCAAAGAACTTCATATGTATCAGTTACTGAAACTCGTAGCATATCAACAATGAACACTTTCGTAAGTATTTTACGTCGTAACTCATCAGTGCGAAGTTAAAGAAGCAAGAAATGCTGAATATGCTTTTTGAATAATGCTTCAAGTTTGACACTACAATTTAATTTTTCTATTATAGTGCTTTGTCGCCTTCTTTGCCTTTGTGGCCGTTGCCAATGCTGGTCACTTGGTTCTTCCTTCCGCAAGAATCATTCAGGGACCCAGCAGCAGAACCACCGTGGTTGGTCCAGATGGAAGCGCCATCTCATCCGTAGCTCCAGGTGGACAAATCATTCAAGAAGAAAGTGTTGGAGTTGTTGCACACAGCGCACCTGTTGTAGCTGCCCCAGCTTTGTCTTATTCTTCTGTACCTCTGGCCTACGCAGCTCATTCTTCTCCTATTGTGTCCGCTTACTCATCTCCTCTAGTATCTGGCGTTCCAGTTGTGTCAGCTTACTCTTCCCCTCTATTATCTGGAGTGGAAAACACCGTTGTAGTAGGACCTTCCGGTTCCATCGTTTCGGGAAGATCTGTAGGAGCTCCAGTGGTGTCAGCTTGGTAGAGTACAATACGTGTTTATTTTTCTATCCAAAATATTTGTAAATACATATATGGAAATAAATGTTTTGTCTATATCTACTGGTATTTAATCGAATTTTTATAGTAATGTTGCTAACCTTCATCGGAGTGCAGTAGCAACAATTCTATTGTTAAACTGTCGCCAATATTCAAATCAAAAGTTCAAATACGACGGTAGAGTTCAATTAATTCCAAATTGACTAAAAGATCGTAACAAACAGATCAGTTTGTTTTTTGATTGAGCAATATAACGTTTATACAGCGAACTTATTCTGTTTTCCAGCATTCTGTTATACTTATTTAATTTACCGCTCCCGGCTTCGAACCCAGTGAGATCCTTCACGTAATAGTGAATTTAATCCTCTCATTTCACATCAATGAACAACTATTATCGATTTTACGCCAGCCAAAACATTTCAATTTTTAATAACATTCACGAATTTATAAATTTCCGGAAATAATGCAGCAGCAGTAAGAGAGATCGGGTCAAATTGTAACGCGGTGCAAATGTAGCAAGACTCTCAAATATTGTAGAAACTTTTAACTTAGACATGCTTGGAGGAGGATAATTTGGATCCACTTCAGTGACAAATAAACCATCTGAAGCGAGCAAATCCAAATATGAAACATGCAAAACAGCCAGCTCCAAAACACAAATATGCCAAAGACCCCTAGCTATTCCAGGGCCTAAATCCCGGCTGAATTTTGCTCCGTACTAAACTTTTCAAGGAGGTGCTAGTTCCAGCTCAGATGATGAGGATGAACATAATAATTCCGTTTCATCCTTTCTGAGCCCTCATTGTAACTGCTTGCGCTGCTCCTGTACTTCCTGTAGTTGAAAACACTGTTCTTTAAATCCCTTCTAGAACGATTTAGACTGGGAGAAATTTAACAGCTCCAGTACTTTCCGCCAGGTGAACTATTTCATTTGGCGATCTCGACTCTTTTTGGTTTATGTGCCATATATTTAATACATTTTGATGCCACGAGTATAATTCTTATAAGTTTTGCATGTCGTATATTACGTAGCATTAGAAGCTTGTATAACTAAGCATATAATCATTTACTCCATACACGTGGGGAAAACTTTGAACATTAATCTTGCCAAATTGCGTTGCTACAATCGCTTGGCTGTCGAGTAGAAAATTAAAATGTTTTGGTTTCACTTCGGTCGCTTGATGTTGCGGTGAGGCTTAGTAAAGCACAAGCATGTCTCGAACACCATTCCAATCAGAGAAGCATTTTCTACCACACATCTAAAAGCAATTAGACCTGAAACACCCTTAAGCGTAATTATTCAAAATTAACGCAAATACAGAGGTCCCTCTGTGTCTTCTCAAAAATTACCTACATTCATTTAACTGATCTATTAAAAGCATTTTTTTTCGACAAACAGTTGGTGATTCAAAAATGAAATTGTCGAAATTCAACAAATAAGAAAGTCTCTTCTCAACAATAAATTTAAGTCAAGTTTAATATTTGCAATATTGGTTTAGTTTATAAAAAGCTGGCAAACTTTTCGCAAACTATTCTATACACGTTCTAAAAAATAGCAAACCTTCAGAAACTCTCGAATATAATAGAAATTCCCACAAATTTATTGGAGAATCAAAACTAACATTATTTTAGTGTTGTCCGGCAATAGAAAAATAATAATAATCGATATTCAGGTCAAGATAATATCTTATCGGACAGAGGGTTGCAACTAAGATTGAATCATGGATGCATTATGAAATCTAATGAACAACTAATCCTTGACTAAGCGTCAAAATGAATAAAATAGTCAGCTTGCCAAAAAAACCTCCAAAATTGCATACATACTACATAAAAGTTAAGGCTGCTAAATGAAATAGATGGATCGAATGGAGCAAAAGCGAAGACAAAAGTCACGCAGGACAACCAGATTTAACTTTCATTTAGGATATCAGAAATAATTATAAGTTCATGGAATACAACAGTGCAGCCGATAAGAGATTTATTTTACTAGTCATCGTAAAGGACAATTATCCATACATTCTAAAAATTATTTGAATTAAGCTAACATAAATAAAATTATGAAGAAGACACATATTTATTTAAATTTATTACCGACAGATAAAACTTTGCTGAATTTGTTAATGAAATATTTTGTGAAGAATTTGAAATATTTTGTGCCTTTTTATGATTAAAATGCCTGTTGCCCAATACGTGCTTGGATTTCAAGCCCATACAAACTCAATAACCAGATAACATGTAAAGTCGATTGGCTAATATTTGAATGATTTTCGATCGAGTAGGGTTTTAATAAGGTTTTCCAGGTAATTGAATTTTGAATATGTGCCAATTCATGGGTCAGTTTTAAAAATGTCTGTCGCTGCTTCTGGCCAATTGCAATTTAATTGGTTATCAATACTTAATACTTGCGCGACTTTTTTTTGAACAATGCAACCCACACAGTTTGTACAGAACTGAATTGTTGCTCTGACTGGTTGGCATTTGAACAAAACTACTTCCCTATCATTTGCATAAGTTCTACGAATTGTTAATGTAGGTTTTTGATAATTAATAGCAAAAAGTTTTAAAACACTTTTAGCTGATTTCACAGAGAAATTTATATCATAAAATAGCATAAAATGTTGCACGAAGACCTTTTTTCTCTTACCTCTAATCACTTAGTAGTTTAGACTTAAATCACCTAAGTTAGTTTAAAACAATGATGTAAAAAAACTTCCTAAAATACACTATAAAAACCTTAAATTTGTTGAGATAAAACTCTGAAATAAATAATCGAATTTTCAATTTAGAAAGTTCTGTGTGGTTATGGAATTTGCAAAATTATGAAGTAAACCATTCGTCCTGTTATTAAAGCACCTGAGAAACTCTAAAACTTGTTTGTATCAATGTGCGAATAAAAAGTGTGCTACAATACGCCGTAAAAAAACTAAAACCACAACCGACAAACATACCTTCATCCCTCAAAAATAAATATATTCTTTCTAATATATAATTCTTTCTGAATTGTAAAATATGTCTGGGTTAGTCCCACCTGAAATACTGACTGCAAGCAAAACCATTAGCACCATCTGGTAAATATCTCTACTTAACTAATATTTCCGATTACGAGCATATTTGATCAATATTGGGTGTTCCTGGGCTACAATCATAAATCCTAAAATTCCAGAGTTTTAAAAAGACATTAATACGGAATATTTTCATTACTAAATAAAGCTAGGTAAAGCAATATTTACTGGTTATAAATGGTTCTGCTGGTTTTTCAGCTTTAAGGAATCTCACGTCTCATTTGCAGTTGTTTCATATAAAAGAATAATTTTTATTTTAGTGAATCAATCAGTAGCAAATAAAGCCAAATCCGACTATACAGTTTCTATGTTAGTTTCTACTTTTCCCATTTCAATATTACTCTTTCCTAGTGTGATTTGCTAATCTCAGTTCTTCTATCCCTTCCGTATTCGTGAACAGACATTTTTATCTTTTAACAGTTGTTGCATAATAAGCATTTATTGAACTGCAATTTTCAACATTAAAAATTGCAATAAAACTGATTATATTCGCGTTTGAAATATGAATGCGATTGTTACTATAGCATCATCTTCATCACACGACTGATAAATTGCTCTTGGACTGAACAAACTTTCAGCCAAAAATTTTTGACAAATCGAATGAACTGCTGCATCCATTGCCTTAAAAAGTGAATTTTATAGTTGCAGAATATTTAGAAATACGTTTTTAAAATAAACGCTACAGTTAAAAATACGTTGTGATTATTATATTCTTCTATGAAACAACACATTCATTCGGAAGCAATAATTAAAATGGTTCGTAAATCAAAAAAATGCCTACATTTGCTTGCAAGAAAGTTGTTTCTTTTCGAAGCATTGAAATGTTTCATATTTTCGCAACAACTGTGTCTCGCCCCATTTTGCCTTCTGGAGGCTCTTTTCTGTTTCTGGTCATTTTTCTTGCAAAAAATACGAGTATTTTCTTCAATTGCAAAATATAAAAAAAATTATAAGGGTAAAATATTTTTTTTCGTGTGAGTCAATATACTTTGCTGAATTTTCTTGCTGAAAATAATTTTAACTGAATTTTCCTCTTAGTTTCAACAGACCACTTAAATTCTCATACACCCCATGTTATGACTGTTGCAATATTTAATTTAGACGAAAAAAATATTTGTTTTCCCACTTTACTACATGAATTTCTTTTATTGACTCCATGGAAACTACAATACTATACAATCTGTTCTACAGAACAATAAGTAGTCTTTGTGACTTAAAAGTAATGTGAAAATATCTTGTTCTAAATTATCTAAATAGTGAGTCACATGAATAATGAATAAATATCAAAGCAGTTGTATGAAAATCTTTAAAAAGCATCAAGTTTTTGTGAACAAATTATATTTTTTTAAATTTTAGATACATTACGGCGATGTCATTGTATCTGCCTGTAAATTTCTCATTAGAATATCTCTTAGAAGGTGTATAATTAAGTTAGTAAGTAACATAAGAAACAAATAGTTGCGAAATTATTCAACAATTATTTGTGTAACTGCCGAAATTTTTTCCAGCTTTGTGTTGAAACTTTGACCTCGATTGTCTACTTGAAGAGCTAGATTAGATCCATGCCGATTTGATTTATTATTAAAAATCCCTTTCACCCAAAAACACGACACCATTTTAAATCTCTCCTACATATTTAATTCTTCGACTAGAGACCGTAATAAAAAAAACAATGCGGAATAAGAACCTGTGTGGTCACTTCCAAATTGTTTTTTGCATTATTTACAAAGAACAGGACTGGCTCACAATACGAGATTATCCATATACGGGAAGGTCGACTCGAAGTTGGTATAAATAATGTCCTTTGCTCAAGCTAATGTCAGTTTGCTTTCGATCAAAGCGTCCAAAACAGCACCATGAACTCTTATGTAAGTAGTGTTGGTGTCTAATAATGCTCCATTAATGGAACTTTTGTCACATAATTAAGCCCACTTTGAACACTAAGCAATGCCATTTTCTTTTCTGGAAGCCCCTTAAATTTTTGTTTGAATGTTTGAATTTTAGTGCTTTGTTGCCTTCGTCGCTTGTTTGGCCGTTGCCAACGCCGGAGTAGCAGTACTGCCTTCAGCGAAAATAATCCAAGGACCCAGCAGCAGAACCACTGTGGTTGGCCCTGATGGTAGCGCAATCTCCTCCGTTGCTCCTGCTGGCCAAATCATCCAGGAAGAAAGTGTTGGAGTTGTTGCCCAAACCGCCCCGGTTGTAGCTGCGCCAGCTGTTGCCTACTCAGCGCCTGCTGCTGTAGCTTACTCGCTCCCCGCTGTTGCATCCGCTCCAGTATTGTCTGCTTACTCAGCTCCAATTGTATCTGCATATTCCGCACCAGTTGTGTCTGCCTATGCTGCTCCTTTGGTGTCTGGAGTTGACACTGTTGTAGCTGGACCATCCGGAACCATTGCAACTGGAAGGACCGTAGGTGCTCCCGTAGTGAGCGCATGGTAGATTTTTCGTGCTGGACATCTCTTCATACACTTGTATAATTGGATTTCAATAAAACGCTACTGCACTGAACGAAACACTTTAAAACTGGTTTTATTCGACACTATATGCAAATGTTTGATTGATTAATTAACATATTTGATCACGCAATATGGTTTATTCTTGCAAGGAAAAGATGAACCTTCAAAATGGACCCGAAAGTGGTTTATGGCGGAACTGGCACGAAGCAACAATTAAATTTAAAGCAATTAACAATGACTGGGCGGCAAGGTAAAACAAACGCGTTAATGTCACGAACGCCGACAAATCAAGTTCAATATCATGCCTCGGCTTAAATGTAAATATAAGATTCCTAATAAATAGTAGAGCAATGCACAAAAAATTAACTGTTTTTGTCTTGGGAATGTTTTCCTTGTTTTTTTGATTAGTGGTTATTATTTGAATTGAATTCAATAATATATAAATATGTCGTGAAATTTGCGAAACGTCCTACTGCTTCTTTTTCATTTGCGGTAAATTTCGAGAGTGTAAATGATTTTTTCATTTTTACTGTCCTAAAATTATTTTTTCCAATGCCAAAATAAAGGTATATTTCTGCAAAAAAACAATCAATGAGGGAATTACTTCTGTCTCAAAACATGAATAAATATGAAAAGTTGCCTTAAATTTGACCTTAATCATTATTATTTAAAATATTTTTATTATTTTTTTCCTGTTGCACTTTTTTATAATTCAAAAGAAATTCCTGGGTTCCAGTCAATTTTATTGTTTATTATTTATAACAAACTTATGATGGTGGAGAAAAACACCGAAACGTATTTGTAACATTTTAAATAATAAACAATAAAATTGATTGAAACCCAGGAATTTATTTTGAATTAAGTTGAAATACAGATAACTAATGATTGATAATCAATTTTCGTCTCACTGCACAAAAGGAAAATGATAAGTTTAAATACGGATAACTAATCGTATATTTAAATACATATAAATGATGCCACGAATATTAGGAACTGTCGTAATAACTCAATTTTGTATGCGGAAAAACATACTTTTAATTTAAAAACTACATATACCTAATTTGCATAATAAAAATAAGTTAAACTCGAAACATGTAGAAACCTCAATATTTTGGAGAATATGAACAACATATTGTTTACCAGAATTTTATTTAAAAACTGAAGACTAGTATAATAAATTAAATCATAAAATGGAATAAAGATATACCTATAAACTGTTTCTAATTATCATCAATACATCCTGWATCAAAATTTGGATAGTATAAATTATTGAGGGGGACATAGTATTTAAAAATGATTCGTCTAATTTTATTTATAGCTCGACGCATGAAGAAAAAATWSTTTTYCACTGAATTTTATASTGAAATATTTAGAAGTTTAKATTGAGAAAATACATACATAAAARATGCGCAAGTACTTACGAATGAAGTCTARACGAAAAAATACAATAAATGTCCCAWTTACATCAAATAGAAAACAAATGGGTCAATATTTATTCTTGGGAAACACTTATYAATAAAATCATTACGAATTGTATAGCATATGTGTKGGTGYCKAAATTATTAATTTTCATTGTTTGAATTTTTACCAAAAGTKTACSATTATTAGCTTTATTTTCGGCGCTTCCAAATAGTTTATAAAGARAATCCCAKTAATATAAATTATGATTAATGTCATCGTGATTAATTTTCTGGTTTATTCAAAATACAATTTTTGGTCAGTCACGTAAAATGCAAATCCACACTTAACGATAATGAAATTACATTGCTGTAATTTGTCAGCATGTTTGGATATTATATATCTGGTAAATATGCACGATTTTTACCGTTATTCATGAGGAACATTTGCGTTGTGCAACCGAAAATATCATTTAGTGTCTCAAATATGGCACAATAAAAACAATACATATTTCAACAATGTTTAATGCCTATTTTCGATACTTTTTTATCTGGATAAATCTGACAAATAAAATATAACTCGAAAAACTAAACTGGCGTAAAAATATTAGGAAAAGTCTTAAAAGAAGTAAAAGTAGTCATCAAATTTGTAAATTTTCATTGGAGATATTTACAATGCGATTTACAATATTAAATATAGTATAACGTAAAATACAACATACATTAGAAATAAGATAAAAATGTAATTAGAAAAATAGTTTATATTCCAAATTGGAGCCTTGCCGTACAAAGAGGAATATACTAGTAAAACGAAAACGGYTTTTCATATTTAAATCATTTCTTCAAGTCTTGTTGCCAATAAAATATTGTTTAATATTGAACATTAAAAWWTAWTGAATTCGATCAGATTTTAATAACCTCAATAWCCCAARACCAAGACACTGCAAGGCAGATCTTTTTCGTTGGTAAATTTTTTAAGAGCKRATTCCAWAAAAGCTACRAAAAAGCTTAGGCTAACTATTTKTTCTCATTCATGGCATAAATTTCGTAAATACGTACGAGCTGGTTTTGTGCAACAGTAACTYACRCTATGYGAAGTGAGATACATTTTCTTGATTTAACGATGTAGATATTGYAATRTAGTGAAAGATTTKAATCGTAAAGTCCAAAATTKTCAAACGKGTGAAGGATAGATAGTTAGATATAAAACTTGCCCAATTAAATAAAAATGYACCAAATGCTATTATGTGCAAACGTAGTTGTTTAATGTAATGCATCCGAAATTTTAATTGGAATAAATTYATAGCAGCAACACATATGGGCTAAGSAAATGGATTAAAATTAAACGCTTCATGAATAAAACTTACCTGCATATTGCATATTTTGTACCGCACGTGGTTGCCTCTGCATATCCCATTTTTACAAGCTCTCAATTGGCGCGAAACACCACCATCACATGATCTGAAAGGCATAACACAAAGTCAATTTTACAGTAAGCATAAACTTTTCATAATGAAGAAAAAGCTTTAAAAAGGTTTTTCGTCTGACGCGTATGTAATCACACTAATTTCGTGATACCGTTATGTTTTTTTTTCATATTTCAATTGGGATTAATTTCCTCAAAAGGAGTGGATTAAAATCAGTCGTCTAGACATTTGAAAGAAAAAATAATTGGGAAATGTACCGTCAAAGGAGCAAAGAAAATGTCCTTATTTGCAGTGCCAACCAAAGACAAAAATTACTAATCATACAAGACTTCATGTTATATCATCTTTCAACATTCCTTGCTAGTTATAGAATAAATATCACTGGCGAAACATGAAGCCTGTTATCTGTTCAATTTAAATATGGATTTTTTAAACTAGCTATTATTTACAATTGACTTTTAATTACTGGTTTAGGCTCATAATTCATTTAAATACACAGCAAAAAATCATCAGAGAAAGCTATTTGCAAGAGAGCTGCAGGAAACATAGCTTACCTGGAACAAGTTGACCACGAAGACCATCCGCTTGACCGCTCGTCAATTTCCTGCAGTTGGAAGGAGAGTTCCTGCAATGCGTAAATCACATTGAAACATAATAAATAAGACCTTCAAGGATGGCTTTGCTAATACAGGATGTAAGAAATTCGAGGTGCTGAGCAAAACGATTATATTTTGATTTTAAACAAAACGTTTTCAATGTTGGTAAGTTCTTATCGAAGAAATAATCGAGAAAATGTGATTCAATTCAAGTTTCATTTGTAACATTAATTAAATAACATTTAAACTTATTTTTTATTATTTTAGTTTAAACATTAACATTTACACCAATATTTCTCTTTATTGTGGTAAAAAATGATACTACAATCAATCCAATCCAAACTGTTTCACTTTAAAAAGGCAAAATTTAAACCACAAATTAATTTAAAGCTCCCCCGACAAACCGATAATAAAATGATGAATACGATATTGTCAATGAATTCTTAAACGTAAGTAAGAAATACGTTTTGCATACATTACTACAATCTTTGAAAATCATTAATCTATGGCAAATATGCAGTTAATGAGGAATTCACCAAAAAGATCAAATGCGCTATCATTATACGAGAGTTATTGAAAAATGTTGTAATTTTTTTCAGACTGTTCTTCCTGTTCAATCTCCAAAAATTCGTTATAATACGCTTGTAATTGTAAAGCGAATCAATTTTCGTCAAATACACCCACATGAATAGAACCAACCCTTTTAACCAAAAGCCTAATGAGACATACGCCTTTTCATATTCGAGCATTTTGGCTGCATCCCCAACTGCCTGTCTGAAAGCAATTAACCGATATAAAAACCGTAATTCTATTCAGAAATCACCTCGGCTGCCGATTTTAAGCCTTCAATTCAAACCTCTCGAAGGAAGAGGATCATTAAATAATAATACAATGGAGGCGCGTAACAACTCAAAACCATTAAACAAAATCCGGAAAGTGTATTGGCATTCAGCTCGAGTAAAACATTTCTTAACAAAAGGAGTTTGGAAAGTTCTTACTTTGCAAAATTAATGATGTTAAGTATGGCTCCAATAAAATGGGATGTCGACCTATCGATCTTCTGATGACGGTTTTTTAATGCCCATGACGTCTTGTTCCCTTTCATCGAGTGCATTATGAAATTCAAGATTCATTCAGTGATAAATTAGTCGCTGAAGATACTTGTCTGAATTCTTGCAAGTATAAGTCGCATTTAGTTCAAGCAAAATAGAAGAACTGAAGAAGAGGAAAATTATACCTTCCACACAAACTGGTGTATATTATTTGAAGAATTTAGGAAAGTGTTACTCCAAATGCTCCCTTAAGAGTGTCCTGTCTTGTTAAAGTCGACTAACTATCGGCAAGTTGTATTTTTAATTGATAAAATATCATTTTTCCTTTTAGATTGTAATTTTATAATTTTATCAAGTTTAAGTAAAAAAATACCAACCAATAACCGCGTTTCAAAGATTAGTAGATGATCGGTCCGCTATAATTTTAACGGATAGCTTACAGAATAGACCCGGAAGACGGTTACTCGAAATACCCTAAGCTAAGCATTGCAATTTGAATCAAGCAATTGGAATTACAGGAAAAAGAGTTGAAGAGTTGAGAAACTTTTCTTTTAAGTTTTCAAGCAAGAATCCGAACCTACAAAACGAAAATAAAACAAAACATTTGCTTCAAAATTAAATGCTTAACTTAAAAATGTATACATATTCGAAAAGTTCAAGCCGACGGATGGAAGAAAGTGATTCATCTGAACCTGCTGCCGTGTTTTAAAATGTATGTTTCAACACGCAAAGCTAAAATTTCTTGAATTCAAGGCTGTTTCGAGTAAACTGCCAAAATTTTCTTATCGATGGCTTATTTTCTTAAAAGGTTAGTTAGTTCTCCCTGAAATGATGTAAAAATGAATGTTGTTGCTCATTTTGCTTCCGAGAAATGAGCAAAAACGGGACGGATAACATGAAATTTTAGCATAATCTTGCACCAAAGTGTCTGATATACAAATTGCTCTTCATGGGTCAAAATTACTCAAACTTCCTCACTCGTGTTGTTATGACTGAGTCGCATCTTCAATTCTCTATCCAACGATGCCAAAATAAACTCTGTGGCGCGAAAAAGGCAGCGTTATGAGTCGATTTTGAAGCTCAAAAAAAATTGCAAATCTAAAACTTCTTGAAATCAAAACTTTTTTTAGAAAACTGCTAACATTTAGACAATTTTTCAGAGTAAATGGATCATTAATATGTCAGGAATTAACTATCATTTAAGCCAGTAAAGGTTGTGCTTATGTTAATCTTGACAATGTTTCCCATCTGTTTTTAGCAGCGCTGCAAAAATTTACGCCGCTTAACGGAAAAAATTATGACTTCACTTAGTTTTCTGGAAACTGCTTCGTGTAATCAAAATCACTTACCGATTCTGATTCATGGCTACTTATCGATGAAAAATCGAGTGCCATCTCCGGCATCGTTAAGTTGCTGATAAAAGAGGAGCATGATGATCGCAGGCACGAAATCTGGAAAGAGTAAAGCAATAATCATGTAACGAAAATATTTCTCACATCCTAAAATGAAAACATTATTTATATTTAATGAAATACAAATGTTTTCCATTCTGTCAATTGCAGGAAAGCACAATTGCCTCCAACAAGCAACAAAATCAAATATCAAAGTTTAGAAACATTGTTCTTGCTGATTGCGTTTATACCCTAATAAGGCTTTGCAAGGGTTAATATAATCAACCAACAATACCAGATGCACATTTAACTGTTGGTACATGACAATTAGTTAGTAGTCCGGATTCTAGGGTTACTCAAATTCCGGAAGTCAATCCGGCCACTTAGCGTGTAGTGCAATTCTGGATAAATCCGGGACTTGAGGAGTGCTGGCATAGTTTAGAAATTCCGGCTATAACCATTAAGCGGGGATAAAATTAAATTTTCTGTGCAATCAATTTAGAACCATAAAATCTAGAAAATGCCGCCACCATTTGCTTGGCATCGAAAGATAGATACACGAATACACTAGTTATAAACAGAGTGTGTGATGCATAATGACAAGGATGATTTGAGAAAAATAATTCAGAAGGTAATTTTAACATAGATGAAAAGTGTGAACTCCGATATTTCTAATTAATTAAAAAGCAATTTACAGATTAACTTGTTCACTGTGCTCTTTGGTTTTGGATTTTACGTTATTATCAAGTGAGACTTCCCATAAGGCCTTTGAGAGGAGACTTTCTGCAATCTAACGTATTTTCTTTTGCTATCCTTATCTGAAATTCCCATATTTATTTTTGATGGTGTGTATTTAGTTATGAGTTTGAATATTATTTTCCTCCAGTTGAACTTCCATAATTATCCAATTCATTTGAAATTTGCGGTTTGATTGAATTGAATTCTAAACTCAACACCAGCAAGACCAGAAAGAGATTTCAAGATTTCAAACCGTTTTAAGACAGGTTTATGAGATGATCTACCATCGCATTCCATTCTGGAAAAGTTTTTTTACTTTAATCCGTTGGATACTTGAAACCGGAAAACTAAATTGAGAATCATATTAGGAAAAGTTATAAACCCGTTAAAAATTATGGGCGTATAAAACTACTTAAAGTAAATTATAAGTAAACAAACGTGCCAAGGATATCAATAAATATTTAACAATATAACTCACACCTGCTTAACACATAATCCGTCAAACCATGCTTGAGAAATGACTATAAATTACAAGTTTCCCTCAATTACAATCACATCGCAGTACACATTTAATTTTATTTATTTTATATGCTCTAAGTTTTAAAAGTTTAATAAGTTCTATATCCTTTAGTTTAGCCTTTGTTTATACACTTGCAGGCACCAATCGACGCCAATCGCCAACACTTAAAACCTAACTCTCTTCGACATTTAACAAAAGATAACGACATATTTGACTATTAGTGTTAGTAATAGAGTTGTTGAATGTGACGAAAAACCCATTACTAACACGAGATTAAAATAAAATTTAAATCATTTAACCTAAGAGACACTTTTTCTGTTTTTTGCAGCTTTTCCTTTCACTCTCGCGTCCAGAACACCCGTCAGAGCACTAATTGTTTTCAGAACACTTAAACGACAGAGTTTAATTGAAGAACACGAGCGAAGCCCTGTTCAGTGTACCTAAAACTTTAAATCAAGCAACTAATTTGACTAGCTACTGAGTTCTTAGAAACGCTCTTCCCTAAAGGTCTCTTTTAATAAGTAATACAGGCTGCTTTCCTTATCCACTCTATTTTAGGGATCAATTAAGGATGGGATCCTCGTAAACTCTCACCTGGGCTTCATAGATACCGTAACATCTGCCACAAAGAAGTATCAAAAGTTTGTTACTGGCTCTTAATAAAAACTTTTAAAAATATCGACTCGCTTCTGAGGCGAACTTTGCCAATGGCGCAGCCAGGATCGAAGTTAAAAATATGCAAATTTTACTGGGTTTTAACGAACATCGTAAATTTTCAAATATATGTCCTGGTATTAATTTTGCGGAAGAAACCCTGTAGTAAAAGTGGGCAAAAATCTATAAGATCGCTTATGAAATTGATGAGAAACTCCTGCAAAGGCAAATTACAATCATTTGCTTACAAAGCAATCTAATGTTTATTCAACAACAACAACAACGAAAAGTGGGTACTTACATATAAATATAAGATGTTACTCATGTCAACACTGAAACTATCTTATCCGCCACTTGGATATTAGTTTGATTAAAGACAATTAAAAATTTTCTTTTTCTTAAAAAACTTGTGTTTCAGTCAAAGTGTGAAGTATTTTTTCATATCGTTTATTTTATAGCGTTTCGGCGAGACAGCAGCGCCATTATCAGCTTTAAAATTCACACAAACTCATAATTGGAAAATATTAGATTCTTTTAGGTCTTTGCTGTCTTGAAACCTCAAATTTGTGCCTGATCATTTCGAATTCGACACACATTCGATACAAACTTTTTTCTTTTTTATGTTTATGCAGTCGGTGTTCAATTTTTTGACCTAATAAATTCATATAAAGCATTTTAGACATATTCGAAAGCAAATTACATATTTTTTGAATTTTTGAATGTGAATTTGAAAATTTTAGATACACATTTTCACGAATAGAGCTTGATGCAATGTAATTGTGGAGAAATTTCGCACAATCCTGGTAATGCTTATCATAACGATAAATATGACGAATTAGTTTAAGCGAATTAAAATTTAAATTGTTGGGAAGACTAAATCATTCATATTCACAGTACGCAACGACTGTTCAAAAACTGATTTTTCGTCACCGCACAAATTACACGGCTCAGTTTTTAAAACTTGTATGGAAATGATCAAATATACTGAACTGATGAAGCCGAAGAATACTATAGAAAAGAAATCGTTCAAACGTTTTGAATGGCTCGCGCTGGTGAAACAACCCACGCATCAACAATAAATGCAGATACGATTTGCGAAATAAATCAACAACAGTTAATAAATTTAATAAAAGATCGAGCAACTTATGGGTGGGTTAGTAAACTCCAACTGTTTCCGGAGGTCTCCATTGTTTTAAACGAGCGGTGCATTTAGCCGTAGTAAAGGGGTTTGCACTATCATAAATCACGGCAGAAGCCTCCACTTTTTGTTTGTGGGAGGACGTGTACACGGACTGAATATATTCGTTAATGTTGCTTTTGCTTGTATGGCGTTATGAAATAAAGTGAAATTAATGCAACACATATTTCGGGAAAATTATATTGATGGGTGGTAAGGATGCAGTTGCAAACGAGCTGGCCAGGGATCGCTATATGTGCCAATTATTAAATAGCTAATTACTAACAAAATAGGAGCAAATGCAGTTTTTTTCAGTTAAAAACGTATTATTGGTTGTGTGAGAATGAAGCTTTTATTTKGCATTTGATAAACAACCTCATGACAAAAAATTCACAACACAGYWAGGATATTAACCGCGCAATAAGGAATTMAYCGCGCAAAAATWACWTAAATAATAATTTATAAAATAYAAGAATWACTAAAATKAAATWACTTTCTGGTARGGTAAATTTARGTTCTACCAAACCGTYAAAACGTTSACCCGAAGTCGTYTGCAAATGTTTTTTYCCACCTTGAGACCRTCGTGGACTTARTSWATTTCAACTGGATATARAATGCTTGAAMATCTGGGATTTTACAATTATAGYGTTTTGKAAGATATAWCCAATTTTCATACAAWMCTKTTATACGAKAAAYAGCTARAWAAACTCTMWMASCTTTTCATA